ATTAAATCATAGAATACGGTCATGTACGTTCAGATGGTCAGTGGATATCTCTGCTCTGGAATTGTATGTTTACAATCTTTATCAGGACGTTTTTCAGCCTGGGTTTTGATCATAAATCAAAAAAAAAAAAAGAAACTCAACCAAAAGCAAGAAGGCTGAAATAAAGTATCATGCTTGACAGGCTCATGTCAGAGGTTTGTTTCTGTTCACTTTATTCACTGGCAGCTCTTAATACAACAGATCGGTCTGACCACCATGGACGGTATTGGGGTAAAGGCTGCAAAAGTGCTTTAGAATAAAAAATACGTACATGTTTTGACTCAACCATGTAGTAGACACCATAGGCAGAAAAAAACAATAACATTTTGATTATTCGGCCCTAAACATATTTCTACTGGAACTTGTTTCCCTGGAATTTATTCCTATTTTTCTACATTTCTACATTAGGGAAATGCACACTCTGTTTGAAAGGAATGTAAAGCTCCCACCATTTTTCAAACCCACTGTTCAAGAACCGGTTCCAGCAACTTTACAACACAAACATTCACTTTTCTCCTCGGCTCTAGTTAATAACATTTGATCTGAGTCACAAAAAGTACCCAATCCTTTGCAAAAAGGTGACATATCAAGTTCGTCACGCTACAAATTATTACAAGTTGTTTCATTTTCAGATTATAGACAACATTTTCTGAATGGCATATTCCACATGTGTTAAAAAAAATGGTTTCAAATGACAAGAAGAGAAAAAAAGATTCCTCTTCCTGTTGGTGCTATCGTGTTGCGGGATTTTTATGCAGATATTGGAAGAAAAAAACAGCTAATTCCAGATTCTGTATTACTCAGTGGACTTTAAAAGTTATGATTTTGGATACTTGTGAGCTCAAAGTTCAGTCCCCGAGAACTACTGTCTTCCAGCTTCAAGATGCATTCTTCTCTAAATCAAATGAATGGCTTGTTACCAGGCCTCAGGTGATGAGGGAATTCGTTCCATTTAGTTCAGTGTTATGGGAGAAGGAACACAGTCAAAAGCAACAGGATGGTACGTCTCGAGGACTGGATTTGGAAACCCTGCTTAGGTCAGGCAATAGAGACAGAGTGGGGTAAAGAATCAGTTCCTGTTGTCAAAACCTGCCTAAAAAATATGGTAATAAGTTGTAGCTATGAACAGACAGTGTTGCAGGTCTTTGCTGCTTTTCATTCCTCCTGAGTCTTTGCTAAAGTAAAGAGCCAATTTTCTTTTTGGTGTGAAACTGGAAAATCTAATTCAAATTTTGAAATTCTTAGATTGGGTTGGTTCAGTCCAACCTGCATCAGATTCTACGCTGATTATATTTGTAAAATCTTTATTTATGAAATAAATAAATAAACGAGTTCCCTAATACATACCTCAAATTTATATCTGCTGGGTCACAGACTCAGATCGATTGATAATATTCTAATCAGTCTATCAAGGTGCCATTTATGCAAAACTCACCTCTAACTTCATATTTTCTGTGTGCTCAGGTGGTTTCATACTGTGAATGAATGAAATTTGTTTCTAAATACTGACAAATTGTCTTTGCATTCCTCAGTAAAACACAGCTTGAGCTCCTCTTTGGGTTTCTTTTCTTTGTTTTTTCTCAAAGCAAACAGAGTCAGAATCAGTGGGGGTGGTGGAAAGCTACTTGGATGTTAATCTGAGAAGTAATAGCTTTTCTCTGCAGAATTGTGAATTCTAATACGTGACAATTTGTAAAAGGCTCGGACAGCCGTGTTCACCAAAGGCTGGGTCACCGTCTCCAGGGGTCTCGCTTGCATTCCCGCTCCCTGTCCGTTCGCAACAATAGCTGCCAACTGTAACACGGTGCTTTTAATTTGCAATAACACGTGACAATGGTAGATTAATGGCTCTTATGACACCTGTGTCCCTGAAGCTCTTCTAGCAGAGACCCAGTGTACATAACGTGTGTCACACTACATTATCTCTACATCCTTCCTGTAATGGGGAGGGGGGGACCTTTTTTAAGGGCACTGCTGACTTGGAAACTTAGGAGCTGTCTGCATGCTTGGCAGAGAGCCACAGACACGGCCTAAAACAAATACTGGGAGCTCCACAGCCAATCCATTTTACTGGATCTTGTGTTGCTCTCCCCTCCCCTGTCCCCTCTCTTTCCCCTCCTCCTTTTCCCTCCGTTTGTTTTTTTGTTCGTGTTTGATAATGACTGCTTGTGCCATAATAATCATGAGGCTTACCAACTTAAATAGAGCTCAGGGAAGCTACTGCGCTGTGAGGAAATTTAATCCAAGCATTAACGCAGTATAGACTACGGCCTACTGAGCGAGGTAAAATATGTCTAAATAGCAAACAAGGCATCGCGAAAACACGATAAAATCAACAAGCAAGCACAGCAATAAAACTAAGGGCATTTTTTTTCTCTTAACAGTGAGTTTCGGAAATTCCCAAATGCAGCTGCTTTTTGCAGGATATAGTCACATGCAGTAAATTACAAAATCCATTCGGATCAGGCTTGTTTTGAAAACAACCTGTCGACAGGTGGGATTTCTATTAATATCTGGTAATATGGTAATCATATATGACATGTTTTCATTAGTTGTAAGCAGAAAATAATCAGAAATAAAAGCTTGAAAACATTAGTCTATGTGCAATATATAATGCATTTCACTTAGTGAATTGTGTTCTAAAAATAAATGAACATTTCTGGCATTCTAATTCATTGAATATAAGTATTTTCTTCATAGACGAATTGGGGCACCATAAACAGGTAGATGATACACTAAGTTTAAAAGCTGCTTTTTGTGATGCTGTGCTTCTTAAATAACCTCGTAAACATGCAAAATATTTTGACCTAAAATAAAGAAACTTTTTGGATAATGACCTACAAAGACAAAAAAAAATTGAACCAGCCAGATCAGACGTCTTGATTGAAGAAATATAAATCCTAAAAGACTGTAAAAACTGTAAAATAAATTATTCATATTATAAATATTACTGAAAATAAGGATGGAAATCTGTGCAGAATGCAAGCTCCAGCAATATTCACATTTATATTACTACCAGATTGTAATAAACAGCGTAGAGGAAAACTTTAATCAGACTTCTTGTTTATTCTCATTTCAAATAGTAAGTTGGCAATATTTAAAATAAACTTAAAATGACATTGGCTCAACATAATTAAGCTTGAAGTTATATAGAAACATAATTATACTGTCAAATAAATAAATTTAGGAGCTTAATAGTTGTAAATTACCTAAAATAATTTCTGCAAATAATTACATTCATTGTTTGTGCTGAGTGGCTGCATTTTTAAGAGTGAATGCATGCTATTGTTGATTCCCACAGGCCACATAAGCAAGTAATAAAACTTATTAAACAATCTTTATAAGAGAAATCACTCAAGAAATGACTGTTTATTACAGCAAAAATCCTAAACATGCTGTCACCTCCCTAAAAAAAGTATTAAAATTTTGCTTTTTTTTGTATCTCTTTTAGGTGAGGTGCTCTTTAAGAGAAAAGAGCAACAGGACGATTGTGTCTACAGGGTAGCACCTTGTGTAATATACTATTCCTACAAACTGTGGCCCAAGGCAAGACATTCCTTTTGCAACCATGTGTGCATGCGTGTACATTTGTGTGTTTGGCCAAGTTTATGTTGGGGAGAGATAAAGTATCTGTGACTCTGTGGTTTCAGGTAGACACCAGGCAAGGCACTGAGGGAGTACATATATATAAAAACCAAAACTCCCTCACCACTCTCAGAGCAAGTCCTGCTCTGACACAAACACAGACCCTTCCACACACCCACCGCACAGCTCTCTTCTCTTTCATTGTAACGCTGGCCGAGCACCTAAATCATGGAGATGGCAACACATCAGGGGAATCATTTGAGGCTGAATAGCTGTAGAAACATGGCGCTGTCAGCTGGAAGACCTCCACAAAAAAAGAGCCCTGCCATTCTCCCCTCAAACACGCTGCTTATTCCCCTGCATGCCCTTTAATACCTCTTTGCCCTTCAGAAGCAATCTGCATAGAAATGCCCGCATTTTATCATTCAGTGACTAGACATTACACCCCGGCTAATACGAGAGGGTCCTCGAACGACTGAAAATGAACCTCCAGAAAACACCAGACGTTTGCATTATGCCCCTGCGATTGCATCTCTTACAGGGAAAAGACTTGATTATGTCATTTGCCATGTCCACGTCATGCTGGTTTTTATATCTTTGCCAGGAAATCTACCTCTGACAGGTCATTAGTCATCCCTACCCTCCCCACACGCACATAAAACATCAATTCCACTCAATATCCCACAAACCTCTCCTTCAACCCCCCCTCCGACAAACGCCAGAACAAAGAAAGACGCTATGTAAACTGCCATCGAGCTCTGATTAGCTCTCGTTCAGGAGAACTGCAGAAATAAGGCACTCATTCCCCACCCTGTTTGAGATAACTGCTCCGTACCCATGCATGCCTTCTAACTCGGCTGAATCTGTTTAGCCATTCTCATCAGCTTCTTATGTAGTGACATTAGGGAGGCCTATTGCTTACAGAACCAATAATCTATATCGCCTCAGGCCTCCTTATACCCACCAACCCAGCAGAAGAAATGAAGCTACTTTTGGTTGTTGGGAGGTGAGGGGGTGGGGGGCTGAAACGCTCTCCTCAGAGCTACAGCAGCTTTCTTGACTGACCTGTGTGGTTGGCTACATCATCTTGACATGTAATTATCTAAAGCCCTTTAATCACTTCCATAAAGATTAATTGCAGGAGACAACAGCGGAGGTCGTGTCTTCAAATCAAAGGACTCGTTGGCAGGTTGACACAGCGGTGTAACGGAGTCCAGACTCAGGTGTTTTATAGGGGTCATACTGGAACTGAGGCAGGCTTTAATGCAAGCTCAGCACAGAGGAGTTTGTAGGATAAAGCAATTCAAAATGCGAAACTTTCTTTCAGCCCTTTTAGGCATTATTTATTCATTAAATCTTAAACATGGCCCTCTTACCGTCATCTCTTTTTCTCTTCTCTCCGTTGGATCGAGGAATACCCAAAATCCCGTTAATGGAGTAGGATCCCGCAGGGTCATTGGAGGCGCTGGTTACAGGTGGGGAAGCCGTGTTTGGTACTGTGGGAAACGCAAAAAGAAAATTAATTGATTGGCTTTTTTATTTTGGACATTTAAAAGTGAACAAATGTATCAACCTATATGAAGCCATCACATTTACTCATTCAATTTATATGATTGAAAAGGAGTGTAAATCTGCTCCTCTTTAGTGCTGGTTACTGAGTTTACAAATCAATTTCTGTCAATATCAACCAATATGCATAGTTTAATGCAAGTCCACAAACACACTCATTAGGCAGTATGTACATAAGAAACTAAGACATTAATTGCGTGGAGCTATATGTTTAAATTGAATATGTCTCTTAAATTATAACACTTTCTCTGTAACAGAACGGTTTAATCCTGACAGTAAATCTTGGTGTTCTAATTTTGTTCTTTTCTTGCTAATAATGATGAGGTAATTAACTTTTTAAAGTCTTTTTTCCACAGCTCCACCAAGAGAACAGATTTTTGGCTTAGAGTGTGCTTAGTCTTAGTTTTTTCAAACAGGTGTTTGCATGTGGTTAATATGAGGTTTCCAGCACATTTTACTACTGTTTTTGTCAAAGCTAATGGGAATTTGATCTCAGGTACTCTTTTTCTTTCTTTATACAGGAATACAGGAATGCCATGAATTTTGCTTTGATTTAAGCTTAGGTGACCAAATACATCCGTTAAACCATCTGCTTTATTCTTATGAATTTGAAGTTGCTGTACATTTTCACCCACCCATCAGCAAATATCACATTTTGACCTTTGAAATACTTTTTTAATTAATACATACGCATATTTTTTGTCCCTACACAGACCTCTGTGATACACCACACGCAAAGTCTACTCACAATTAAACACACTGATCTTCAAATCGATCCCAGTTATTGAAGTAGTTTTGTGTTCAGCTCAAAGCTAACCCTGTTGTCCTGTAACTTTTCAATTTATAAACCACTATGAAAAACTGATACAAGAAATTAAAGTCAGAAAAGTTCACATGAAAAGAACATAATGTTTATTATCTCTTTTCTGTAAAATATGAAGATGCATAGATTGCTTTTTGTTGTGACTGCTTAAACTTGTCTTTAATAAGAATATTTTAGTAAGAATAAGGACAGACCTTATATTTTATTATGTGTAACTCTTTATTACACACAATAAATATTTTATTATGTGTAACTATTCATCTTAAACTTCCTCCAGAGGATAGAAAACAAGTATCTGGTTTGATAAAGCAGGTTTTTAGAAACGTACAACCTTAGTTAAAGATTTGGGGTGTTTAGAAATACTAAGTTTCTTTTTTTTTTTTTATTAAAAATTATTCTGACTGTAAATTCTGTTTTTTCATCAGTTTTCACATTTTTTAAATTTACACTGACAGTAAAAAAAAGTAGCTTTTATCAGAATTGAAGCAGTTTTAGAAATGGTTCCCGGTTTGTGTACAGAAATTGTTTTCCATCTTTCAGTTAATCATGGAATGTACCAATTTCAAATGAGAAGTTGAAGATTTAACTTAATGTTTCATAAATAATCCCCATCATTCATTTTACAATTTTTATTTAAAAAAATTTATGAAAATTAACAATCACATGTGCAGGTTCTGAGATGGTAGTTCTTTACCTATTGTATGACCGGGCGTTGAAAGCGATGATCCATCAGGAGATGGATGGAAAGGCTGCTGGACCTTTGTTCTGATGATCCTGGAGCAAAAAGAAAAGAGATGTAATGAGTGGTTTTCAGTCAACTTGTATCCAGTGAAATGTTTTTTTCCAAATACGTTTTATGCAGAGAAGTATAAAAGTGTTTACCAAAGATAAACAGACATAAAACCATTCTAAAAATGATCAAACTAAGGAAACAAACAATTAAAAAATGATCAAACAGATATATAATTTTCGAGGATAAGGAAGTGAGGAAATGCAATCAAGTCATCAAGCAAAGAAACATTAAAATGTCAAAGCCAAAGTAGATATTCTTCTGCTTTTTGGGGTCACATCAGGACGATAAGAACAGTTGCCGATTCTATTGTCTACTTTTCCAAGGACGCGTCTGAATACAAATCTTTATACACTAGTTTTTCTTCAATGACTCGCTTTTACCTTGCCGCCGTTAAAAAAAAGGAGTTTTCCTTTCAACTGTCACCACATGCATGCACATTATGCAGGATTGCTGAAAAGCTGATGCAGTCAACTGTCCACTGTCGCTACTCACTTGCTCAGGAGGTGGTATTACTGCAAAGTCAGCGCCTCAGTTGACTGCTCTTGCTTAGTTCGAAAATGTTTTACCAACAGGCAAAATAACTTGGCTGCAGTGTTTTACAACTCGGATCAAATTACAATGTTATCGACTCTGTCTTAGATGCAAATAACTGTATATTACTGTGTGCAAAATGTATCTATTTATTTTGGAGAGCACCTTAAGATTGTATTTGTTCCATTCACCGATGATTACAGATCAGCTTCTGGTGATTGTTAAAATCTTTACTAAACCAATAAGTTTATGCAGAAACATCTGAAACTGCAAACCTACCTGAACATATCTGTTTTCAGTTTGCTTTTAAAAACTGAAGACAGTTTTTAAAAGTAAGCCTTTCCCTACAGACCGGAGAAAAATTTGCCTCAAGTAGTTTTGTTGCTCTAAGGATCAACGGGAGCCCTAAGCCCTCCAGAACCAGACCCGTAGGACATAAAGCTGGTCTGATCACCAACATTAAGAAAACTTCTTTTATTTTTTTTTCCTCTTATTTGAGCATCATGGCAGCTTCCAAAAATATATTTTGTGACAAAATTATCAAATTCAAGTCGTTCAGAAACATGGATGTGGTCAGTGGTTTTGTCATAAAAGCTGAAAGAAAAAAAAACCCAACTCTCTACTGCACTTTTTGGTCTGGGTGAACTTGCAAACAAAGCATAAAATCACATCAATTCACCTCAATGATCAGCTTCACTGGCTCTACCTGGCCCACACTAATCAGCAGCCACCACCTCCACCCACTTGCCCCCCGCCGCCCTGACCCACCCAGGATGGAAGGGGTTTCACAGTTACCGATCAAACTCAACCCATGGCCCCCCATGTGCCAATGCGGATGAGGTTGTATTGATTGAGGCCAGTGTGAGGAAAAAGTTGGGGATTAGTCACACGGGCAAACAGATGCAAATAGAAAGCTATAAATTATATGTGACAGGAAAGCAATAGTTCCTTATTGCCTTGCACAAGCTTACGCCAGCATTAGATTCCTTTAATCTGAATGGCACTCGGGGAGAGAGGGAGCTGTCACAATAATTTGTAAACTTTAAAACTATTCATCATGGATGCCGTGGGAGCCCCTCACCAGAGGTTTGCTGAGTGATTTCTGTGATTTTGCACTTTTTGTCCTCTGTATTCCTAAAGATTAAAAGTAAAATCTGAGTTATTTTGGATCGTAATATTAGCGCAGGAGCCTGGAGGTTTTCAAGAAATAAATTCGACAGTGTCACAAATGAAAAAAAGCATGTATTGATATTTTAATTTTTTTCTTTTCCCTCCCCCCCACAACAGTTATTCGACCCCTTGACTTGTCTGCGCGACATAAATTAAAAAAATTTTATTCGGTGTCCATGTTCTTCATATTGAATAAGCAATTTAGCAGAATGAATTAATGACCTGCTTGTTGCTGAAAATCCCCTGAAGAGATATTAAAATTGCTTTACTTCTGAATCAATAATATCGAGCACCATTGAAGACTTTTTCTTTTTTTTTTTGTTAGTTTTTATTTTTTCTTCACTTTATGTCAAGCAGAAAGTGTTGGTTTTGGCGGCTCTTTATAGCTACAACACTAACTCTGTTGTATTTAATAATGCATGCAGGAGAAAGGTGTTTAAATCTAGCATCTTCTTTTGTTAACGGTTCTGAGGTCAGACTGTCTCCCACTGGAATCCACTGAAGCACCCAACTGGAAAAGAGTTTGGCTCCAGTGTTTTTTATTATTATTATTATTATTCTTTAAGCATCTAAAGAGAGAGAAAAAAAAGTCTTCTGTCATTTGAATGTTTCCAGTCATTTTCTTTTGGAAATCTCCAGTGACAATCTATCTCAAAATTGAACCGTTAAAGATGTGTTCATTTGCTACATCAAAACAAATTCTTCTTTCTTCTTCTACAAAGGATTTTTTTTTCATGTTCACTGTGGGTGGCATTGGATTACAGAGCAAGAGAATGAAAGGAATAAGGTTTGATATATGATGTGGGTGATACGGCCTTTGCCCAGGGAGCCAGTGTGTCAGGGGTCACCAGAGTCCATACAAAAGTTTCCTGTAATTTTCCCAATTAATAGGTTTCCTCCTACTTACTGTCAAGTTCAGGCAGTGGAAAAGTGAGTACACCCTGTACTGTGCATGATGTAAGCATCGTAACAAAAATATGGCCTTCTGTTTAGAACAAAGTTGGCATTTGGTTGCAGACTCCTAAAAGCATGAAAGTAAGGGGCTATTACATAAAATTTTTGCGATTCTGGATTACATTTAAATAGCTGTTCTAAATCTAAAATAACAGGACTCCAATTGGTTCTGAACAGATATTGTTTTAAACACGATTTGAGAAAATCTTTTTCTGTTTCAAACAAGATACAGAAAAAGACGTTTAAGTACATTTTTGGCATACTACTTTAATTTGGGACAGTAAATAGACCGATTAAACCAGGAGTAAATCATCACTAGTGCCACACTCTTTAAACACACTGAATTTATGTAAAAATAATTTATTTATGGAAAAATAATTTTCTTAAAAAAAAAAAAAAAAGCTAAAATTTCCTCCTGTTGCTTGCCTGGGGCCACCCAAGATGGAAATTCACACCAGCTCTCGTATTTGGTTGATAGAATTACGGCTCTTTGTATTCAGAATTTAATTTCCTCATATAAACAAAGACACACAAAGCCTCCCCCAATTCCATCTTCCTTTCCAAAATAGACCTACCTTTAATTGGAATTGGAAAAAAATAAGTTATAGCTCTTTTGATTATATTAACGTACATTTTGAATTTATCACATACATGTGTCTGAGGCTCCTTAAATGGGGCTTTTTAAGCAGCCACGAAGCATGAAATGAATTTTCTTCAACCCCCCCCCTTTCCTTTTTTTTTTTTTTTGCTTTCTCTCTCTCTTTCTCTCTATTTAAAAGATGTCTTGTGTGGAGCTGTCCAGGCTCTCCCATCAGCTCATTAAAATGTAATGCTGATGCTGCCTCTATATGGAACAGTGCCTCTTAACCAAAGTTCATCACCAGGGATCTCTGGTGGTGGTGGTGGGGTAAAGAGAGGTGATGTGAGGGGCCAGAGGCCCCTAGTTTTGGGTGTAGCCACAACAAAAAACTTCAAACATTTCAAGAGCAAAATTTGCTCTATATTTTGACCTGATGTACTACAAATATTCCTCTCGTATGCATTTTTACGCACCATTATCTTCGAATGCAACAATATATTATCATGAGATTTTAAGCATTTGTTTTAAATTTTGAGTTAAGCAACATTTTACAAAATAAATAAATAAATAAAAATCACCAGAAATGCCCTCTTTTTCTCTCCCTCTCTCTTTCAGTGCAGCCCTCCTGCACTTTAGATGCGTTAAAGAAAATTGGCCTGCTTTATAGCGCCACGGGATTCTGGTCACCGCATATTGATCGGTTTTCATCTCGACAGATTCACTCAGTCCTGGATGTACAACTGCTGATTGTCAGAGGGAGGGAGACCGGAGGGGGGTTGATCTCAAAGATTGAATTGCACCTCTGAGAAGTCGCTCCAGCTATGTGCTGCTCCCGCAGTTGGCCGCAGAGATAGGCTGATGTGATAAACTATTGTTTTATTTTTATTTTTTGTCAGCTCCCTTCATTATCCATCCGACATCAGTTAGATTTAGCTAAGCTTTGTTCCTTTTTATATAATCATCATTATTATGTTAATTTCCAAATTAAATGCCAACACAGCCTCATCTTTTGATTATCTAATAAAAATGATTCATGTGATTTTTTAAAATAATTTTAATATTTTCTAAAAATGTCAAAATAATAAAATAAGCCAACATCAATTATTTTTGCTATTAATATTTTCAATTACTAAAATAGCTCGTAAAATAAAACTAAAAGATTATTATTATCATTAAACATAAATCTAAGCACTACAAAGCAATACATATTTATAATAAGGTAACTTTTGAAGCTGCATATCATTTCTCCTACCTATTAATAGATGAGACGCTGGGAACAGTGTCGTTGTCGCAGATGCCCTCTGCCAGCAGTCTGTCTCTGATTTCCCAGGCAAACATGGTGGGATTTTGTCTCTTGTAGTCTGCGATTTTTTCCACTACTTTCGGAGTGGCCACTTTGGGTTTGGACCCACCGATGACTCCAGGCTTGATACTACCAGTCTCGTAGTATCTGCAAGAGTTGAATGCGCAACAACAAGAACAACAAAAAGAAATAAGAATGTTAAAACCTTTCATGCATTTTTAAACTCAGAAGTGTTAAAAAAAAGGTGAATTCTTTGAAAAGTGACTGTTTTTGGAGTTTAAGTAAGAGTGGAACATTAGAAACAAACGAAGCATCGCACGAAGCAACGTGAAAGGAAACAGGTGCAGTGTCAAAAAAACGACGTGACTTTTAGGGAAGTTTTGCGCCTCTGATTTACCCAAAGTTCCCACCTTTAGGGGACTGTGAAGACGAATAAAAAATAAAATAAAAATAAAATAAAGAAAAGCACGCTTATTTAGATTCAAGTTTGCCTTTCCCGGAGAATCATCCCCTTCCCCACCTCCCCTCTCTCTCACCTGCCGAGGATCTTGCTGACGCAGCCGTGGCTCACCCGCAGCTGTCTGGAGATGTCGCAGGGCCGGACGCCCTGGTGGGCCAGCTCCACTATCCGCTGCCTTACCACGTCCGGGAGGGGTCTGCCGTTCACGAACACCCCGCCGAGCTGGTTCACACCTCCGTGCCCTACGTGGGACACAACAGCAGCAAAAACACACAGACGTAACATTACATAAGGTCGTTATGAAAAAAAATAATAATAAAAAATAAAATGCAAATGAAACAAACGTGGATAAAAACCCCCAAAAAGAATAGGAAAATGATTTACTACGTTGTAAGAAGAAAAAAACATGGAGTGACGGACGAAAATTGTGATTAATATATAAATAGTTTCGTTTGAAAACTTTTTTTTTTTTTACTTTAATGCCAGAAAGGGTGCTCACGTATCTTGCTTTACGTAATTTTTAAAAATAAAATTGTTTATTTCCATATGTATTTTCTTTTTTTTTAAAATGGAAAATACAAATATATTTACAATAGGGAACAATTTTGAAATGAAAAAATATGTAGGCCTATATATTTTTTCCTTAACTTTCCAGTATTCAAAATAGCCAGACTAATTCTACTGCAAAAAAATATGACTGGATAATATTTCGATAATAAGATAAAACAAAAACCCACAAAATGTAGTAATTACTTGCTAAGTTCAGAAATATTTATTTTATGTGAGATTCTGACCCATTCTACACTTCCGCGTAAGTTTACATCGTTTTTTTTTTTTTTTTTTTTTTTTTTACCGTAAAAGTAATAGAAAATACAGATTAATTCCATGAAACAAAATACTTCATAACTGTTCTTTACTCTCATCTGCACCCACTGTGATATTTCTGCGAATCACTCTCAGGGCTCATCATTCACGCATGCATGTTGATTATGTTCCCCTACAATTTAACTCTGATTACTCATATTGCACATCATCTTGTAAACAAAGAGGTAATCAATTATGGAGAGCTACTCCTCAAATTAGGATTAAAGCACCCTTTATGCGCATTTAAGTTGGATGTAGTTGCACGGATAATTTGAATAATAGATGTGTAACTAATATGTCCTGACTTATTAGGCCTTGCACGCGCATATGGGCGCGCGGAAAGATTCAGGTTGGGTGCACGCGTAAAATAGAGAAAGCACCTGCTGAAAAGCGTGCTCTTTGTTTACTGTGACACATTTCATTTTTATTGCATATTTTGGAGGCGTTTTCACGGATAATTGTAAATATAAATAAATAAATAAAGTGGGGAATTCTAATTAGTTTCGGAACTGATATTGGATAAGTCACAATTAGTCCGAAATGTCTCAGTTTGGCCTTTGTTCTGCGTATTTTTATGCGCTATATGCTGGCTGCACTTTAACAACTGCTGCGCTGCGCTACAGTGTGCAGGAATTAAGCGTCTTCCTTTTCGTGTGTGTAAAAATATATTTTGATCCATATGCACGCGTGTAAAAAGCTGCAGCGGCAGGCAAACTCGGGTTGTGCTACTTACGGTGCATCGCCGTGAAAGGGTCTGCTTTGCAGTGAATATCCATTGGATAGCAAAGGAAAGACAGATAATCAACTGAAGTCGCCGTTTCGCCTTCCTATCGAGGGGGGAAATTGTGGAGAAAAAAATGTGATTCTAATCGATGGAGGGACTTATAATTTGGATCCCCCTCCAGCCCCGATCCGATGGCAACTTCTTCCCCTTAAAGTTCCCCCTCTTCTCTCTCTCTCTCTCTCTCTCCTTTTTTTCTCAGCAGTCCCGTCCGTCAACTGGATGTCTTCTTGCAGGTGCACTGCATGACGGAAGGAGCGCTTCTCAAAGCTGGAGGTAATTCTCACAGCATGCCAGCACCGAACCCGGTTCCTTCTTTTTTTTCTTTTTTCTTTATTTTTTGTCTCGCAGGAATCTCTCCGTACAGGCCCCCCCCCGATATGTCCTCAGTCCTGGTGGACTCGATTCACGGACGAAGAAAGGCTCACACGCCGGCTTCTGGCTTTCTTGGCGCAATAGGCTGCGTGAGGCTGGATTTTTGGAGCTGGGAATGAAGCCTCTTCTCTGTGTCTGTGGTTCTAAAAGCTGCAACCCTCCTCCTCCTCCTCTTTCTCTCCGTCCCCCTCCTCCCCTCTGCAAGACCCCCTCTTTGCTTATATGGATGACTTGTCAGACAAAGGCAATAGATGCCAACACTTTGTGATTCGCCAGCGCAAAAAAAAAAAAAGAAAAAAAGGGGGTCCAAATGAGGAGGTCTCTGGTTCTCTGACACACAAAAAAAAAAAAAAAAAAAAAAAGAGGAGGGGTAATAAATAAGAGACAGGGTCCGACTTGCAAACATGTGTTTATTAGACAGTAGAAAGTTACGCTCTTGCTTACAGTAAAATTTGGAAAAAAAAAATGTATCAAAAATAATGAGAACAAATCTTTGTGTCTATGTCGGACAAAGAGCACATTATATTAATGATAATAAAAGCAATTCTGAAAAAAACCGGTGACTATATATATATATATATATATATATATATATATATATATATATATATATATATATATATATATATATATATATATATATATATATATATATATATATATATATATATATATATATAATTTTTTTTGAATTTCAACCCGAACAGGCCCCAGAGATTAGCCCCTGATGTTTTTTCTTGATTTAATTGGATATTAAATATATATTAAGGTTAAAAATAGATGTGCTGACCTTTATTGCACGCAGCTGATGGTGTGATGATTGTGCTGCTCCAGAGTGGGAGTTACAGTGCGTGGTGATGGTCGGAGGTGAAGGTCCCTCTGCACCAATAACAACGCTCCTTCTGTAGATGGCGCTGTATAGTTTCTCAAACCTAAACACAGCTGAACTAAGGGGTTCTGAAACAAATCACATTTTAGGGAGCACTTAAGTGTCATGCAGAAAAAAAAAACTTTTGGGAAAGATATTCCAGAATAAAAAAATGATAGATAAAAAGCTGTATGTTTACACTTATGTTTAGATACATGATGCTTTTTGACATAACTGCTAACTTTCAGTAACTTTTTAAATATGAAATTATGATAGAAGACAGAAGTGATTATTAGACAAAAAAAAAACTATTTTAACGTTATTTCAATGTGATCTAGACAAATTATAAAGAAGGTTCTCACAAAGAATTATATATATATACACTAATAAATTATTCACAAATATTTTTGGAGAATATCATAATCAGTAATTAAAGTGATTTTTAAAGAAAATTGCACATATAAATCTTAATGATTAAACAACATATTCAAGCAAAATAATGTATGAATGTCATGTTCATTGATACCTCAAATTTGTATATATTTCAATAAAAATTATTCTGAATATATATGTTGGAATGAGCCTGAAAATGTTTTAGTTTTCAGTCAGATGCTGCTCTCAGCAACAGTATCCACAGAAGAATATATTTGAAGACTTAAAATATTTATTATTATTATTATTATTATTGCATTTTTGACTATTGTTTGGTGACAGTACTTATGCTAAAGTCAAACATGCTAGTGAGTTCAGCTGCTGAGGCTTGAGGCAGTCTGAGGCAATGAAGGTCACATCTTAGTGATTTAGGGAAATGGCTGAAACGCATCATGTTAGAATACATTTAAAATGTGAATTACAGTGAAGATTTATCACAAATCAATTCTTATGTTTGGTTTCTTCCAATGATTGGGGGAAATCATTTTGGAGGCTTTGGCTAATTTAGCTGAGCAAGTGCATTTTGGAAAGTTTGTTGGAACTGAAGTAATTTATGTGTTTTACACACTGAACTATCTTTAAAAGTTACTATATAGATTGTATTTTTTCTGTGAAACATTTGTATTCTCAGCAGTTCTTTACTGTATGACCTCTTTATGTCATGCTATTGTAGTTTTTCGTTGCATTTTGCGAACTCTGTTAATATACAGCAATAGCAGAGACATGGAACTTAGTAACTATTTATAGACAGACTTATTTTATCCAACAGTAAGCCTGTAAATGAGTATTTGATTTTGAAGTGGAACAATCTCAATCAATGCTGTTTGTCTAAGATTATCACTGGATACTTGTTGCAAGTGAGTTACTCTTGTTTACAAGCAATTCACGTGTCACTGCTAAAAAAAAAAACAACAACAAAAAAAACAATCTAGCTTATTATAAATAAAGCTTATAATCTAACTCAGATTTTATTGATTGATTATTGAGTAACTAATAAATTTGATCATCTGTAGTTGATAATGGTTAACTCTTTTATTATTGTTGTTTTACTGAATAATAATAATAATAATAATAATAATAATAATAATAATAATAATAATAATAATAATAATAATAATAATAATAATAATAATAATAATAATGACATTATGTCACCATATTTTGGGGCTTGAGATGGGGGCCATCTCTTTGGGGCAGGCAGCCTCCTGGTCAGGTTAGGGGATGATTTCTCTTTTTGTTACTGTTTTTGGAGAGGGCTTCTGGTACAATATGTAGCACTATAGGCTGTAATTTCACACCCGGCTGCACATTTCCCTTAAAGCTACACCCCTCCACACACGCACCTACTATAAGAACCCCCTCTCCAACCCCTCACCCCTCAACCCCATCGTCGCCCCCTTCTTCAGTTTTACACCCCCACTTTTCTCTCCTCCTGCTCCCAACCATCGCCACCACCCATCTAATGTAAAAAAATAAAAAAAATAAATAAATAAGTAGGGGGAGAAAATAGGGGATCGAGGGGAATCCCAATTTTGGATTTTTTTATTTATTGTTTAACTTTTGTTTGAACAGCACGTGCGGTGTGGCCCCTGTCTCTCTCTCTCTCTCTCTCTCTCTCTCTCTCTCTCTCTCTCTCTCTCTCTCTCTCTCTCATTCGTTCTTCTTTATTCCAGGAGGCCACCCTGTTCAGCAGTTACAATGCGAGGGTCAGATAATCGGCGCATTCAGGATAAAATTAAGCAGGACAGGTCAAAGAAACGTTACTGCAACTTTTAGCTTCATCTTTCTTTTCTGAGATCCAGGAATAATAAACTTGAGGAAAGAAGCAGTTCCTCCAGTTTAAACTCAAACACAACCCCGCATTTCTCTCTCTGGCTTCACAGCTGCAGCGTTTAAGACGACGCAGCCGCATGTCAAGAGTTTGCAAAAATGTTTTCGGAGCCTGGCGTGCACCCATTAGGAGAGGTGTAATGTATTGACAGAGAGCAATTTATCTTTTGCCCCGCTTCCTAATGGCCTGTGCAGAGAGGAGAGGTGGCATGGAGGAGGTGGAAGAGGAGGAGAAAGAGGAGGAGGAGGAGGAGGAGAGGAGAGAAGCAGCATCGCTGGTCCAGCATGCAGCTCCGCACATTATGGATCACACTCGCTCGGGATCAGGAGGATGTTGGTAAAGAACTTTTATTCAAATAGTTGTCCTGTCAGTTTTATCTCAACGTTTCCCTTTAACTGCAGGCCTGTTCGATGATTGTCTTGCGTTAAGACCAGCGTCACCAATCGGTGCGTGTTTGCCTGCAGAAGGGAGTTGACTCCTCTGGGTGTAAGTTTTTTTTTTTTTTTGGTCTTAAAGGAAATGTTCTATTAGTTTGATTTACGCATAGAGCGTTCTAAAAGGCCAACATTTCATTGTATGCATGTTTGAAATAAATATTCTGAAAATATCAGCGCTGTCTGGGTTTTTATTTCTTCTACAGTGGTTACAAACGCAAATGTCTGTGCTTTCCACCACAAAAAAAAAAAAAAAAAAAAAAAAAACTGCGGTGGTTTATGTTAGACTTCCTCCTGTATACTTTTATGGATCCCGGGCTACAAAACTCGCAGAAGTGAGCAGATGCAGCTTCACTCTCAACGATTGATTTTTGCTCTGGCTTTTAATTTTGTTCATAATTAATTGAATCATTGCAACTGATTTCCATCGACTCTCCGGTTTAAAGGCAAAATGAAAGAGCCTGATCTCTTTGCTTTTATTTATGCTTATTGTTGTTTTATTCACTGTTCTAATCACAATCCTGTTACATTTTACATATGAGTGCCATATTGCCCCCACTTCCTGTTATCAGTAAACAAGATTTGGATTATTTTAAATAATTGTAATTTTATTACAGTCTGGCATATAAAACAAAAACAATTGAATAATTCATAATATAATATAATATAATATAATATAATATAATATAATATAATATAATATAATATAATGTATTAATAGTGTATTTGATCACTTTGCTTTGTTACTAGTCCAACTTTTTTCTATTGTAACAAGTGATTTTCCCCAAGTTAGGCAGGTTTTATTTAAACTAACTAACTAACTAACTAACTAACTAACTAACTAACTAACTAACTAACTAACTAACTAACTAACTAACTAACTAACTAACTAACTAACTAACTAAAGTAGTGTTTCTGTGCATTTGCATTTAAAATTGCAACCTAAAGCTATAATATTCCTAGAATATCTACAGTTTTGTTCCTTTTTGACTCTCAAAACTTTCAAATGTGCTCTGCACGACAAAATGTGTAGCCTACTACTACTACTACTACTATTATTATTATTATTATTATTATTATTATTATTATTATTATTATTATTATTATTATTATTATTATTATTATTATTTTATTTTTGTCTGCAAACTAACATCTCACTGTCATGTTAGTACGTGCAGGTCTTCTACATTTTATTTTTTTTAAACGCGCTTTGGTGCTTAGCATGAGAGTGCATTCGCTCGGATCACCTTCTTAATTGCGAATCATCAAAAATTAACCATAGACGTAAAAGTCTATGCGAAAGTTTACGATTGCCATGCAGGGGCGTATATTTCACATGATAAAACCCACAGAGGAAAGAGCGTGCTGCTGCTCTCTGTCAGTATAAAATAAATTCGAGTAGGAAAAAAAAAAAAAAAAAGAAAAAAAAAAGCCGCCTCCCAATCACTTTAAATCTACCACCTGCCTTCATGTTCGGCTTAGCTCCAATTAAAACTCCTCTGATAGCTGCAGAGTTTTCAGGTCGGCTGTTCAGCTGATGGCTGCACAACATTCAACACAC